TGCTAATTTCAGACTTACAGGCTAGTACACAGTGGCGTATCAAGAGTTGGGGGGGGGGGGGTGGCAACTTGGCACCCCTCCAATTGGCATAGTACATTTTTCAGCATTTCACTAGCCCAAGACGCTAGTGATCGATAGTGGACGATAGTGGTTTTTCCACAAGAAGAAAAATGATGAGAGATCAGTCGGAGACGGGTAAAAACGAATGTTACTTACGACCTTTCCCATCCGGCTATTTCGTACTCCTTGTTCGATTACGTTTGTTTTCACATCGCGTACTTACGCGAGAAAGAAAATGATAACGTTGCGAAGATTCACCTAGTAGTAGTACCTACATCCTATTCTTAGTCGTGCTTGCTTTAATACAGTTATTATCAACGGTCATTTTAGATTTGTTTGTAAATGAGAATTAGTCCTTCAAGTTTATTTTTAAAAAATTGTGTGTCCCAAAAGACACACAATTGTGACTTTGGATGAGGCATGCAATGCTTTGCGTGCCTTCACTGTTGGGAAGCAGATTAGCCCTTCCCAGTGCCCTGTTTGGGCGGTGGGTACTAGCGAAGTGGCAGCTTTGTGGCCTTATATGCAAGGTTACTGGTCACAATGTTGCAGGTCACGGCTCGAGTCCCATCAATTTTACATTTTTCTTTTTTCCCCCCAGAATTGAATTTTCTTTCCTGACTTGTGTTGAATCAAGTCCCAGCCCTACAGATCGATGAAATAGATTTCCCTTTTTTTCCTGATTCATGGCTCTAGATTTTTTTTTTTTAAGTCCGAGAACCTTCGATACTGACGTTGCGTAATGGTCATTGCCTTTATTTGGTGGCAGAAAAATAATTGCCCCCGGACGTACACACATGGCGGATCCAAGCGCACACTTTTGATTCAATGTTTGAAAAGAAACATTGTGTGACTGGAATTACGACAAGTGTTCCAACGGCTCCCTTTTTGTGGACCAAGATTTTGTACCCCGAAATTCCTTCGCGCGGTAAAATTAATATATAACATCAAAAAGAAGCAAAACGTGCTGTCCAGCCCAAAAGGCCGCATTCTCTCGAAAGCAGGACTAGGAGGCCTACTCGGCCTTGTTCAGGTTTTTCGGTTGCCTTGGTTACTAAAAGGGCCATGCTTTCATTTCTTTAGTGTCACGGCGATGGGCCCGTACATTTGCTTCTCATTTCAATTCCCTTCATAATGCCTTAGGCTCAGCCGGTGCTGAAACGTCAGCAGAGAGAAAAAAAATCGTTTTCGGTATTCGGTACCGCAGTACATAGGCCTACGACTACGTACGATACGACCGGCTGGCTCTGACCGGACTCTGGGGGCTGGACCCATGGCTGGACGCTGGCTGGACCCTATGGCTGGACCACACAGCGGACAGCATGTACAGCGTCCCCAAGTACGTGTCGGAACAGGGACAAATAATACGTGCCTCTTGAGGGCGCTCATCATCAGGTCACGATATGATTCCTCGATCACAAATGCATAATGTGGGACAAAAAGAGTAGGAAAAAGCAGAAAAAGTAGGAATTTCAAGGGAAAAGTACTAGGAGCAAGGTAAACAAGTAGCAAGTGTAAACAGTAAAACAGTACTTCCACAAATTTTGCAATGCAATGGGGCATGATTTAATATGCAAAAATTGAAATTAGATGCATGCGCATCAGGGTCACAAAGCTGTGGGTACATAATCCATAAAATGAGAAGCAAAGGCTGTGATACACGCGTAGCATGGAACAGTATACTGACCTTCATATAAAAATCATGAATGATTGAGATAATATTAATATGTAAAAAGTGGCGTCAGGATTAGCTTGAGTAACTCCAGCTTAACAAGCTCATCAGGAATTCACATGTAACATGTGAATTCCTGATTATACCCGTGAACGTGGCTATATACATAGCCACGCTTCAATCTATAGTAAAAACTCTCTAATGTGATCCGCGGTTACTGCGCTGGAGTGACCGTTCTAGCCGAATTTCGGCTACATTTGACAGAATATTTGCATACAAAAATGAGATGTACAGAAAATCCAGCAGAATATTTTTTTCGGCAGAATTATGTAGATGAAGGACAATGAAAAAGAGTAGAGAAATATGGGCATGTTGTGCCCATTCTTGAAAATCATGCATTCTTAAGAATGTGCAACTGGATCCTTGCCCAATCTTCGCAAAAAATAACTCTTCCAGATTGAGCGCATATTCTTAAGAATGCGCTACAAGATAACGGTCTTGTCGATGCCGAGCACCGGCTGCGCTTGGCAAGTCTAGCTGCATCCTCGTTCACTGATTCTCAATAATTATACTGTTGCAACGCAAGGCGCTGAAAAGTAGAGTGGATATGATAAATATCTATAGGCGTATTGATATGGGGTGGGGGGGACCGGGAAAAAATAAGAGACATAATAATACTAGTGGAAAGAATTCTGATTTTTGGGATAATAAAAGCGGGGGGGGGGGGGGGGGGGGGGGGGGGGGAACGTAAGAATGAAGAATGTGAAGAATGAGAATGAATACTGCGACATCCCATAGTGCTAATGCTATTTCCCATTTAAATTGCCACCAATTTATTGTTCACACCCCACCATTACGTCGCAGAGCTGGATTCTATCTAGTCAAAAGAGCAATTTTGGCAGCTTCTGGACATCGTTTTTTTTTCGTGGCATGCATATGATACATACAGGGACTTGTAACTTGTCTAGCCTAAACAAAGCACTTCCCAGACTAGCTCCCAGTCCTCCGTTATTACAAAACTTCCCATAGTGGGCAGAAAAAAGCAATAATAACAGGTTTAATTTGATTCAAATTATCGTAGTTATACAAGTACAGAAGCATAGAACATTTTCTTTCCTCTTTATATTAATTGTTTCCCTTTTAACTGCTATACATTTCATTTAAAATAATTATGTCGTGCAATGTTTGTTAAGATTGGGCAAAATTCATATATTTTGCACGTGATATTCCCACCCAATCTTAAGAATGAGCGCTCATTCTTAAGAACGCGTGCTCGTTCTTAAGAATGGGCGCTCATTCTTAATGCGCGCACATTCTTAAGATTGCGTGATTTTCAAGAATGGGCACAACAGGCACATTTGGTTTGAAAAACCTTTGTTTTTTTAAAGATCCCTGAAACAAACTCTTACACAATGGAACAGCAATATATACTGGGTGATTGGCAGGTGATTGGAAGTGGATTTAGCAGAATTTTACATGGTATTACGGTCATCCTGCCATGTAAGACTGTTAGTCGGGTTCCCACAGGTGGGACTCCTACCATTTTGCGCATGCGGAACTCGGGGTACCAGAGTGTAATGCCTGTCTTTGATTTTCTGATCATTTTGAAAACATTTGTTGTGACAAAGTTGTGCCGTATTTTACTTCGAATTTCTTAACAATGACAGATCCAACACTCGCGTAAATTCACAGGAAGCCTATCAAGCATGACAAGTAAGTGATTTACCTATTGGCAAAATTATACGTGGTTATATGTAGCGGATCAAAAGATATAATGATTTTGCTTGTATTTATGTGAGGGAATTGGAAGTGCGTGGCGTTGTATACAACGCCATGTTCATGGGTCTAATTCCTGATGAGCTTGTTTAAGCATGGAGGAATTCCTTCCTCCAATGGTTTAAGCTGGAGTTACCCTAGCCCCATAAATGTGGCCAATTTACTGGACTACCTCCGTAAACATAGGCCACACGTCCATCAGGTACAAAAACATGTCGCACTTTGTCAAATTTTGATTTTCACATTTAGGCTTAGTTTATAGCTTATTTTTGCTTTAGAAGCATACTCACCCTCTTTAAAGGCTAATCAAAAAGTGCTGCCTTTTTCAGATGTCTAATTTTCATGAAATTTCATGTTGAAATTTTGATACGAAAACGTGTGCAAACGTATCTTGAAATTCACGAAAAATGGGCATCTGAAAAAGGCAGCACTTTCTGATTAGCTTTTTAAAGAGGGTGAGTATGTTTCTAAAGCAAAAATAAGCTATAAACTAAGCCTAAATGTGAAAATCAAAATTTGACAAAGTGCGACATGTTTTTGTACATGTGGACATGTGGCCTATATTTACGGAGGTAGTCCAGTAAATTGGCCACATTTATGGGGCTAGAGTTACTAGGCCAGCTACGTCAGGATGTAACATTCTTTCCTGCCCTCCACCAAAACAAAGAACATTCAGAAACTTGTCGATCGGTGTAAGTAATATCTTTCTTAGGGAGTTCTCCCCCCCCCCCCCCCCCAAAAAATAAAAAAATAAACTCGGACGGTACAATGAACTTCACTACATTTACCCTGTAGGGCCTACTTACTTTTTACGAATAGTGCAGTGTGCATATAATATTATTATTTTTTTGGTGTGTTTTACTTTTTTTTCACCTGAAATTCACTATGGAAACTACTTATCTGGTTAATAATATTATTTACACCTACCTGTAGTTAATAACATTGTTTTGCTGTTGAGTGTTGAGGTGGTTTATTTATAGTGACCGTCAATATTAGTATGCAATTGCAAACAAATGGAGAAATTGTTGGGTTTGATACAATGTGTCCTGTCCATAACAAATGAGGACAAATGAGCAAAAGTTGCCTAACTTCAGTAATCAGCAGTCTAAATGACACCCACATGTGTGTCTGGATATATTGGGTGTACTGGGATGGACGTACACAACCCATGACCTCAAGAAAATCCTGCAGTCATTTCGAACCAACTCTTCAAATTTCCTCTGACAATTATAGGATAAGTAGATACTAGAAGTAGGGAGTGTGATTTTTCTTGGTTATTAAACAATCTAGATTTCAAGTTCAGGAAACACAACTTTTCAGGAAATGTAACATGCATCGCTGTGTGGCTCTTATGGAGGACGTCCAGCATTTGAGACACATGTATAGGGCTAATTGGCCCCATAAAAAGTTACGCAAGAAACAGAGATTAAATGAATCTCTTACTTGTTCACTTCGGAATTTCTGGGATTTCTTCAAGTGCCACAGGCCGGAGAAACCCTTCCTGATTTGTGCTCAATATCTGGACACCACCACATGGCTGTCAACTTGGTGAAGGAAAATGAACATCGATGGGTTTAGCTCTTTAATCTTTATCCAGCTTAAATTAACACTACATGTATATATATTTGTTCCTGTTTTTACTTTTGGTATCACTTCTAGGTGCAGTAGACAACATGTGAAAGATATCTGCCGTGACTCGCCTGCCATCTTGATCTGGAGCAATGGTCAAACTTACTCTACCATAATAACCCCAAACCTGTACAGACTATTGTCATCTTTCCTAGCTTCAGTTATGGACATATGCAAGGAGCAGAGAAGCTGTGTTTCCGTTTCTCGTGAATCCACAGATGTTATCTCTCCTCCCAGTCCTAATCCTCCTACCTCACCTCCTTTGATTCCCTCATCCCCGTGCCAGCCGCCCCCTCCCTTGGGTGGATTGGGATCATTATCACACCCGACCAACAATACAGTGTGGAATGTTGCATCGGCCGATGCAAGAAAACCCTCAGCAACGGCAGGGAAGGATGAGATTTCAAGAGGGATGCAAAAGTTGCTGTCATGGTATGTATTTTGATGTGTGTATAAGCCCTGCTTGCTGAACTGTAACAAGTTCTGAACAAAACAAAAAAATCCGAAAATTTAGCTGACGGTGTGGAAGGGACCTGAAACTATACCAGGAAAGGCATATATCATTTGTCACCTGATTTTCAAATAGAAATTTAGAGGAAATTTTGAAAATATTCTTTCATATTTCTTAAGCAAAAATGTTCTTGGAAATGTCATTAACTTCAGAAACTATGTGCTAGAAACTAAAAAGTAGAAGGCAATCCTGTTCTAGTCCTAGAAGTAGACTACATGCGCACTACAATCAAAGTGATACTTGTAGTGTAATGGGGAAGTTCCCAATACACGTACATGGTACAATGCATACCAGTGTTGTAGTCAAATCCATCACAAGTCCTCACATGTCCATCACAGGCACCAGTCCAAAGTCAAGTCACAAGTCACAAGTTATTCAAATACACTGAAAAAGGCATTCCTGTATCACTGTTGATCTTCAGTTACTTGTGACTGGAATTGTGAATTGACTTGTGATTTACTTGTGTCCAGTCTGGTGATGGACTGATGATGGACATGACTATAACATTAATGCATACAAACACAATAAGCTGACTTACACCAGATAGTAACATGATAAAAGTGCCATTTGGAACCATTCTGGGCCATATATCTCAAGCATGCAATGAAACACTGAATATACATCTATTGATCTGCAGGAGAATGTGCAATGAAAGAGACGACAATGTATGGATAGCAAGCAACCGTCACACAGCTCCTGTCCTTCAACAAGGCCCAGAGTAAGGACAGTGAAATCTTGATTAGTCAAACCTCAAGGGAACAGGTTCAACATTTGACTTGAGCAGAGTTTTGAGTAAAGCAGGGTTGTAAATCATTGTTTTACTACTGCAGGGAATGGATTCTTTGTTGGACTTAACCTTTGTTTTGAGTTATCAGAGTTTGACTTATCGAGATTTCACTGTAATCTGCAAAAATGGTACAATGGTATACAAATATTAAGTGGCTCAGAGTGAAATGGGAGGAATATTATTGCAAGGTAAAATCTGGACTTTTCTATTTCAGGAAGCGAAGCCAAGTGAAATGGAAAAGTCCAGATTTTACCAAGTGATAATATCCTTCCATTTCACAATTTAAAGCCACTCAATATGTTTTTTTTAACTGACATATAGATCCTTGTCATTTGATTTACAGATAAAATGAACTTCTATTTCAATACAAAATTGGTGGGAAATGTATTTCTCTCTTCCAAACCACCCCTTCACGAAATGTTTGAACCCAACTCTTTAGCTAATGGCTCTTTGGAACAATACGCTCAACGCGCACACCAGCATGCATTTGCACACAAATACCACGCCATAGAACACGGATTATCCTAACTGTTAAATAGTAAATCCCATTCACCATGGGCGAATAGAACTCTTTGAGCCCCTGCGTGAATGGGAGCAATAATGAATGTCAAGTTGTGTGAGTTCCACCAATCAAATGACAAGGATCAGTATGCCAGTTATATAATATCTGCAATAAGTGTGACAGCCTAAACATTACTACATGTATGTTGTCAATGGCCAAGAAGGGGCGTGGCCAATTCAGAGGAGAAGTTCATTAATTAATTGACAAATGTCTCGCATCCTTAATGTCATAAATGTTGGATTAAGGTCATCACACTTTTAAACTTCCTTTTCATAAATATGTTAAAGGCAAGAGGTTTTCAGATCTGAAATTTTGTAACCTCACGGTTTTACAACTCTGAAGAAACCCCCAAAAAATCCTTAAGTTTTGGTGCATTCCATGGTTTACAGCAGGATCAATTTTCAGACCAGATTTTTAAACTCTGTACCAAGAAAAAAGCTTGTCTATGAGAAAAGCTTGTCTTGTTTACCATTCATAAATACCTCAGACAGTTTAGCCATTCCTATTGGTCGAGAGCCCGTCACGTGGCCGGTCTTAAACGGATGATAAAGAGATGGCTAGCTGGTCTTAAACACTTTTCCAGTGTCACATAAAATGTGGACTCCTAAAAATCCAGTGCCTCTTACCGTTTTATTGGTTGAACGTTCACAGTCCTCACGTAGGCATGCACAACACTACCAGTGAGTCAGAATTGTATAGTTCTAAATTCAAAACGCAACGCCCCGGGTGCGTTCTGCGCGACATCGCACAGAACGTGCCACGCGCGCGTCAATCTCCATAAAAGGGTTGTTTATATCGTAATCGCCAGCTGAACACTCCATTATTTAGCTAGAGGGATGTTTCAAAAAGCATGAAGTGAACTTGATGAACAAAATCGGGATTTTTTGACCGAAATATTATATTTTTTTGACCGAAAAGGTATTTATGAATGGGAATAACTGTGTGCTCGGTCGGTATTAATCACTCTGTTTAAGACCGCTTAGAGTCTGGGTGCTGATAATTACCTGAGCCGGATCCCTTATTTATTCACACATAGGAAATAAAAATGTCTATAATTGTTTATTTTATGGTGTGTATTCTCATCGTAAACTGTAAAATCATTGTCAAGTCTAAATCCCTGACTCTCGATTCTTGGCAGGTGTGGTATAGTCGCCCTCTGCATGGCTGTCAACATGTTGGGGCCAGTCTCTGCAGATAAGAGACACATCATGAACACTGCCCAAGAGAAAGGATACACTATTCAAGGGGAAATGTTCTCAGGTAAACCAGAAGATAATATGAAGATTCAAGAAACTGAAAAAGGAACTCAGAAATCTAGCAATTTCTTTTCAGAGCTGTAATCTCGTCGTTGCAAGTCAATACAATTAAGTCAGTCGGTAGTCAATTACAAGTAATCCAGTCTCAAGTCAAGTCAGAAGCTTTTCAAGTGAACTGTGACAGTGGGATTCTTTTGTTATTGTCCATACTTGTGCCTTTGAACTTAATCCAGTCAATACTGATTGACTGCATTCAAACTCTGTCATTTTACCTGTCATTGTAAAGATGTTAGTTCACACCTAATAGTGGGTCATGCATAGCTGCCAACTGTTACGAATTTTTCGTAATTATTACGAATTGTTTGTTAAATTACGAAAATACGATTTGCCACTAAAACATTACGAATTTCCCATTTTCTACCTAACGAAAAAAAAAATACTTGTAAAGTATCGTTTTTGACCGAAAACTTTTGGCGAAATGTCGCAATAATGGATGGACTGGTGACAAGTCTAATAAGAATGCAGTCAAGCAGCTGATAGACATCAATGCAGTGTGCGCAGTGGAGTACTTGAGGACCAGACTAAAACTATTTTTCAATGGTGTGTCATTTGTGTGCATCTCGTGGATGTGTGGTTGTGTGTACTGTATGCAGTACTTTTCAGTGACGATCGTGAGCACATTTGGTCGCTTATTGCCGGGATGAGACCCATCAGTGTGGATTTTAATCATGGAATTTAATAAGAGTATGGTTGGAATAATTGGTAATAGAGTTTGAGTTTGTCACAACATCCAGAAAAGATAAATCAGCATGCGTTTGCAAGGTATGTTGGCGGGATATTTCTATTGCATACGGTGGCCCTAAATCATTGTGTGTAAAAACATTGATACGAACTCAAAACTCCACATCGATAGCATGCATCTCAAAAAAAGATATGCGCACATGTTATTATTGTTATTATTTATTTGACTTCAACAAACAAATACAGACATTAAAACAAAATTATTTAAAAAAAAAATACAATATTTTTTTTTTATTTTTTTTTTATTTTTTATTTTTTTAATTATCTTTTGGCCTACAGTACATTATTATTCACAACAAGAAGGGTATGCACATGTATGTGTACATGTAAACCATGTACCTGTACTTGATGTTTGATAAAACGAGCAGTTGAAAATGACCGCGTGGGTTGATTACTAATTGGGATTTTGAAAAGTTGGCAGCTATGGTCATGCTGTTTGAGATCAAGTTGAGGTTAAAACTCGGTTTTCATGCTTTGAGAAACTTTCATTGCTACCATTAGAAATTGAATGTTTCAACATAGTTTGTGTTTTCTCTATTAAATGTCAGCACGACAGAAAAACATTTCATGGAATCATATCTCATTAAAAATATCAAGCTTTTCATCTGTAGTCAGTTCTGTTTCAAATAATAGCGTGTTTTGTTGATTTTGCAATAAGCTCTGCCCACTGTTTACTTATGACTGATAATGACCAAGCTACCCGGGTCAACTGACTAAAAGATGTGATTGAATTGGTTATTAAATGCCCACCGTTTGATTGACAGACAGGAAGGGTCAAATAGCCACTAAGGCAGTGTCCAAAACGGGCTTCCAGAGCTACGGCTACGTCTATTGTCAGCGCGTCCCCGCGTAGTATCAGTGGGTGCAGACCTAGACCTAGCTCTAGACAGCTGATGCGGATGCAGCCTAACAACCAGATTCACTGAGCATACTGGGAGTTTGAACTGTGGTTTCCAAAAAAATCAGTTCTTTACTTGTACCTCATAACAGATGAAACTGACATGTACACTTACCTGTACTTAATCAGATGAATGCTTCATCATTCACAGCCACAAACTTACTGGACTTGGTGTCCTGTAGCTGTGGAGTCAATGGCAGAGTTTTGGTAGGAAACATGACGGATAACCGAGATGACATCATCCTCCACCTTGCCAATGGTTGGCCAGTCCTGGTGCCGTATCCTCAGTCAAAGTTTAAAGAAGTTGAAACCTATACACTACAGATTTTAATGTTGCCAATGTGAACTCTGTGCATTAACAGTAGATGGTGCTTCCTGACCTCCTTGGGAGGGACAATTACATATGTGCACTGGTTCACACCCACACACACACACAAGCCCGTTCACACCGTCGATCGTGGACGTCCTATTGTCCCTCTTTTGTTTGTACTTTAACTTTTTAGGAAGACTCCCATAGGTTTTGTTCACAACCCCAATCGCGGACGTATGCTGGGAATCGTGGACGATATTGTTCTCTTTTGTTCTCTGGAATTTTTCGTCCACGGTTTGAATAGATGATCACCCCAACACAGACAAGCAGCCTAATCTGTAGACAATCATTTTTATTCTGAATACATGTACATGTATGTACAACCCATATCATCTTGGCTTGAGTGCCTGATGTACTGCAGCAATGCATTCAAGTCCCTACTAGCTCTGTCTGTAACTCTGGTGACTGGGTACCTGTGCATGGAGTCCATAGCTAATCTCAAGCAGTGGTGTATTAACTAGGGTTAAACCTCTGGGGGGAACCTGGGGGTGCATACATTTTCTTTTCAAGGGGGCACTGCAACACTGGATACATGGTCAGGACTGTATAGATCTAAACTCTTTCATGAGTCTTCATTTTGTTGTTGCTTTGATTTCCTTAATTTCCAAAGTTATGACAAGGATGCCAACTGTGAGCCATGCAGCTTAAGGGGACATAGAGCCCACTGGGCTGTCATTTCAGGTAATGCAACCCTTCCTATACTGATAGGAAAACCTGAAGTGACCATTTATAGTGGCCAAAAGTGGACCAGAACTTAAATGACCGTAGCCCAGGCTGACAGCCAGCATTTTTTGACCTTCTGTAAAAAGTGTAAGGTTTTAAAATTGATCATACAGTTTAGCCATAGAACTTTCAGAGAAGATATCGGGGGTTTTGGGGTTTCAAACAGCATTGCCAGTTAAAAAATAAAAATTTGACTTATTTTCGGCAATGTTCAGCACTGTTCACTCGTCACTAAGGTGAATGCACTTACCATAGCACAGACTGCAATGGTGCAGATACCCTGAACAGTCACACGATACTTTTGGCTAAAAAAAAGTACCAGCAAGTTGTGGACTGGTAGACAACATTCATTAACTTTTTAGTTCTAACTTTTCCCAACTCTAAATTCAGATTTTTCTTGGACTTTGATGACCATTGTCCAGAACGAAACATGCTAATCTTCCAACTGTTGTACAGAAAACAGTGTTGCCTGCAAGTCTCAGTGGAGTCAGTGGACACAGCTTTTACTGCCAGCCAAAACAAAATACATGTATAGGGTGAGTAAAAAAAAAGACGAATCCCAAATGTCAGGACTATTGTTTTAGTGAAGTTCTGCCTGTAGCACTTTCAAAATCTAGGATATGAAAGCCCAATTCATAAGCTTTCTTTTAGTACAAGAATCATTCAAATCACTCGTACTTTTCAAGTTATGGAATTTTAAACAAAACCACCGTTTTAACACACATCCCTATGTGATTTGTTTTCATTTTGCTGAAAGAACACTTAACTTTAAAACGGTGGTTGTGTTTAAAATTCTGTAACTTAAAAAGTACATGAGTGATTTGAATGATTCTTGTACTAAAAGAAAGCTTATGAATTGGGCTTTCGTATCCTAGATTTTGAAAGTGCTACATGCAGAACTGCACTGAAACAATAGTCCCGACATTTGGGTTTCGGTTTTTTTTTACTCACCCTGTATGTGTAGACTTTTAACTGTTGGGGAAAATAAGCATTGCCATGGGATTCTAATTCAAGTTCAGAACAGTTAACCTAGTCTATTTCTCCATTTTCACGAAGGTTTTTTGCTGCAATGCAGCAGAGCTGACTTTCCAGATCTGAACTCGAAAGAGATTCATCAGGATCCAGCTGCATCCAACCTGTACTGCATCAGCGTTGATAACCACGATGGGCTGTCCGAGCACACCATCCAAACAGTTCAGGCTGTCCTACAAAGCCTTCCTGCCTCCGATGTCTACCTCCTGGCCAGGCAGGGTAAGAGCACCCATATCCACCCCTGGAGGTACACTGCACTGTCTGACAGCAATTCTAACCTTCTAGAACTCGGTAGCAGCATCCAGGCAGACATTGGCAAGTTTATGATTCCAGAGGGTGGTATACAGGCAGGGTTGTGCAGTCAAGTGGTCTTGATAAGGCCTTGATTTGGGGAAAACCCTCTTGGGAGGAAAATGTTGAGTTGTGCAGGAAACATTGCTGCTGTGTCCATCATGTCCATGGGCAAGGCACTTAACCTGAACCATTTCTCTTGCCAGGACTTTTTTGCTCTCATGGAACTCAAGTATGACAGAAAATATCCTAACAAACGCTGAAAAATGGGGTTTTATATTTACATCGCTGAGTTAGTTATTTAAAGATTGAAATAAATTATTATTAACTATTTTCTCGTGAATCTTATGAGTAGTGCCGTGTAGAATTTGAGCATTTTTGGGCATTCAAATTCTGAAGAATGAAATACTCCTACCTTTTTATATGAACCACCTGGATTATGTGAGAAAAGTTTTTACAAGTTCATAGGCGGATTGTTAAAATTACATGTTTTGACTTAATATACTTCCAGTGCTGTTATTGAGCCAATTCCGTTTATATTGCAGAAGTTTTATTACATAATTTTGGAAAATCACTTGTTTTACAGTTTGAAGTTCAAAATTGAATCCAGGTGTAGAAATGAAAAAGAAGTAGTTGTGCAAAGGTTTTTCCAGAGAATTATTTTTTTAGTAGTTGTGTTCATATATTTATTTTTGGGGAGGGGCAGTTGACGGGAGGTGGACCTTAAATTGTTGAAGAATTGAAGTGCTTCACAAATAAAAAAAAACAATGAGACCACATCCAATTATTCTTAGATATCTGTTCTCATTTTATTAGGTCGTTGTTTGGCTTTCTATTTAGGACAATAAAGAATACAGTCAGCAAACCATTTCACATTGTAGTCCCACTAGTTACAAAGTAATGGTGCAATTGATGTTCAGTTTCAAGGAGAAAGATGTTTTGAATTCTTGGGCCATGTACACATAGACTATTCTGGTGCTGATACTTGGAAGCCATTACTCAGGTGGTAACACACTTGTGATTTTACATGTTGTACCAATGACATGTTTACAAATTGGACCTCAAATTTAAGAACGTGTATGACTAGACCCCAATTTCACAGAAGCGCTGAGCAGAAAATATTGACGAGTCGATTTCTGTACTGTGCATAAATCAGTTGAGTAGACATACCGGTCACAATCCATGCACACCGCATGAGAGTTTGGGCTACTAACCTGTTTTGTTCGCTAAATATGCCTGTTGGGAAATTTCTGTGCAAACGAGCTACATGAAATTGGCTTATGCACAAGAACATGGTACCACCCAAATGATGCCTTCTTATTCTGGTGACAGGATTCTTCTATACATGAGTAACACATTTTACAAGCATGAAAGCACATATATGTCAGACTATCTTTTTCTTTAAGCCCTTCCTAGATTTAGGATGGAAAACTGCCTCCCGTAAAAGCATAGCCAGTCCATTTTGTGACCATTGTGTATTTAGGCAAACAGTTCATGTAAAGACCTTATTTGTAATGGTTATCCAATGCAATAAAATGCTCTTCATAACAGGAATTTTGTTTTCAGGAAAAATCTATGTTTCGAGTACAAGATAGGACTGGTACAAAACATTCATTTCATAAGACTAATTTGGATCCCAATCAATAGTCACAATGAGCACCTGAAAAGCAAGTTGTGAGAGAATGAATGGAATAGGTGTGAACTCAACTTGGTGAGGTGGTGACATATCACTGTCAAGTGGCATAATGCGATGCGTATTGTCACTATCATTCACAACAATGTATTTTCAGAGCTTTTTTGTTTCAGCTTCCACTGAGCTGAAATGTTAAGTCAATTCTTCCAAATATACGACAGTTTTAAAGGTCACTCTATCAAACATTTTACAAATGTTGAGAATGTCTGTGAAACTTCTTTTCTGGTTATTTTTCTTGACAACCTGAGCACCTTTTATAAAACTTTCATGAAGTTTAAAGTACACTTATAAGCAAATAAGTGGCAATACTCCAATGCTTTCAATGGCCTTTCAAAACATCTTCTGATTATCCACTTCAAACTCTAAATCTGAAAATAAGTATGCATTTAAATGGTTCTGTGTCATGTTTGTAAAATAATCAGTAATTTTGTTTATTTAATTTTGCTTTCTATATGAAAAAAAGAAATGCTTGATACTGATACAGTGACTTAAAGCTGCTCACAGAAGACTTGAATTCAAGTTAAGAGTGGTCAGGTTTTGTCCATCCGTGCCACTGGTAATATGGAACTGTGTTAAATATTTTTTTAATTACTCTTTTCAACATTTCATCTGATGGGATATGACTCATTGGGAGTTAAATCACATGCATGTGAACCCAAGTACATTATGTGCGTATCATTAACATGGCTGAACAAACAAGACCCATTCAGTTACAGACTTGAAACCAAGGCTTCACTCAAAGCTGCTTGTATGTTTCTGTTGGCAGCCAGTAGGGAGAAGTCACAATTATTGGTCCAAATACATGTAAGTACCTTTTTCAGACACCATCAAAATTACAGAAATGAGAAATGACAGTAGTAAAATCAAATACATGAACGTTAATGTAGTTTGCTTGGTCACTTACAGTCTAAGAAATAAAATCCCTGTTTAAAAAAAAAATACCAGACAATGTTGAATAACTTCATGTTGCAAGAAAGAAATTAGCTGGAAGAAAGTGGTTTGAAAACAGGGGCAAAAAAAACACAATTATGCCTAATCCCTAATTCTTTGCAATGGTGTTGGCCTACAATGAGATACAAATCCCCACTCAAACCCTCTGATCAAGGTTTTACTCTGTTTTCAATCCGTGAATATTCAAAGGTTTTATTTTGATTTGAAAATCAACTGTGAAGGAGTGAAGGGGCTTACATGTTCTATACAGGATTAATGATGTATTGCTTTAAAATGACGGGAAGGGGGGATGAAAGTTTAAACAGATTTCAATTTGAAACAATTACAAAAGCAGATGTTCAGTTCTTCGTTTCACAGTATATCTACACAGCCTCGTAGATAAAACATGAACCTACATGTACACACAAGTTTAAAACTGGGCTACAACTATGCTTTACAAGAGACTAAAATTAAAGATAGCATCATACTTACCTCGTTGTTGGAAACATCAGAGAAAGTTATCAGCATGTTACAAGTTCCGTCTTTCTGTGTTTCATGTCAATACCCAAAACAAAATAGTTTTCCTTTGTTTTACTTTTTGTTTTGTTAATAAGCCTTATGTTTCACACACTAAGCATTTGCATCTTCTACTTTGGCATACATTATCTTCAAAGGAATCCTCTCACTTCAGTGTTGTCTGTGTTAAGCAGAGTGGGCCAGTCAGCTGGAACGTTTGTTTTTTGTATTCTTTGTTATTATGTTTTCCCATTTTTCTTTAAAAAAAAAATTGATTTAAGATTGATTCATGATACCTATTACTGTTCAGACATTTAAAAAAACAATCAAAAGTTGACATTCCATTTTTACAGGCAATGATCAAAACTTCTGCCACATTGTGATTTGTTTTTAGTTAATGCGTTTTTTTGGTGATGTGCACTCATGTAAATTATAATTTTGTTGATTTAATGTAAAATCTTGCCAGTAGCCCAAAATATAAGTTTAAACATTGTATTAAAAATCAATAGATGACGTCATCTTGACGTCATTTCGGGTTTTGCCTACTTGTAATCATTATCTACCTTCCCACCAAGTTTTATGATGATATGACCTACCCTTATATTTCGCATATGTGATGACTCATGATAACGTCACACAATTTTCACATTTTTTTGCAAATACCTACGACTTAACAAACCTATTACCAAAAGAATTTTGAATTTAGCTGTTGTGTTCGTGAGATATGGCAATAATCTCAAAATTTCAAAAATCTACATAAAAACACGTGATCAATCACCTAAATTTTCATCTATAACACATCCCGGTATGTGTACATGCAAAGTTTCAACCTTATCGAGCTTGTAGTTCTACAAACATAGGCCACAGAAAGATTTACCTTTAAGATGACGTCACATGACACATAATGACCTCATCATGACATCACTCCACAGGACACAACTTTGCTATAGGGACTATGCCTATGCTAACTTTGAATGATATATGTGACCAGCTCCACAAAAAAAAAAGTATTCAGTCGCGCTGTGCATTATCATTGAGAGGGTGACAATTTCATCAAAATGTAATTTTCTTTTTGTTTTGTCATGAATAATGTCTTTATTACCTAAAGTTTCAGGATTCATTCACAGAAATGTTGATTTTCATGAATAAAGTGGGGGAAAAAACTACAATTTTTAGTGCATCGTGCCCAAATCTACAACTGAGCCAGCTCTTTCAAAGCCTGTTTTCTTAGTTGTGTAATTCAAACTCCAAGGAAGTAATTAATATGCAAATACGTCGTCTCTCCAGAACAGAAGGGGATATGGAGCTCTATTATATACCAAATACTTTCCAACCATCTATATAACTAAATTTCATTAGTCTGCGACATAATACCCTTTTTTGTGAATCAGGTCATATATGACAACGATGAATGCCCAAAGTCTATGGGATTTGGGATAGAACAAAAAGGGGAAAGAAAAAAATCAGAACAAAAACAAAGGCTTTTCCACAACTTTGCAGAAAAGCCAATAAAAAATTGCTTTGACACAACCATTTTTTTTTTTCTAACAACTTAAGTCCATCTTAAGTTGTGATTGCCCAAAAGGTGGTCACATGACCGGAGTGGTTTAATTCACTACGCTGAATGTCGCGATGACATTGAAAGCTACATCGCTGCAATATTTTTGATTCCAAAAAGTTATCTAAATATTTCTTATCAACGTGATAGAATCCAATGTCAGTATACATGCTGCTATCTTAAGTCCAGTTTGTTAATGCGTCACTGGCAAATTTAGTTGATTTCATCAATTTCAAAATGTTTCAACCTTGAAAATTACACTTGCGATATACATGTATTACAGAATGTTGCCCCTTGCTGGATACATGGGCCAGCCTACTGTCTTCTGACTTAGTCACTGACTTAGTCACTGAGTAACTGAGTGACTGACTGAGGCACTGAGTCATTGAGTGACAAGCTGAGTCATTGAGTGACAAGCTGAGTCATTGAGTGACAAGTTGAGTCATTGAGTGACAAGCTGAGTCATTGAGTGACTAGCTGAGTCATCGGGTGACTAGCTGAGTCATTGATTGACTAGCTGAGTCATCGGGTGACTAGCTGAGTCATCGGGTGACTAGCTGAGTCATTGAGTGACTAGCTGAGTCATCGAGTGACTAGCTGAGTCATCGAGTGACTAGCTGAGTCATTGAGTGACTAGCTGAGTCATCGGGTGACTAGCTGAGTCATTGAGTGACTAGCTGAGTCATCGGGTGACTAGCTGAGTCATCGAGTGACTAGCTGAGTCATTGAGTGACTAGCTGAGTCATCGAGTGACTAGCTGAGTCATCGAGTGACTAGCTGAGTTATTGAGTGACTAGCTGAGTTATTGAGTGACTGAGGCACTGAGTGACTGACTGAGTCTCTGAGTGACTAACTGAGTCATTGGGAGACTGAGTCATCGAGTGACTAGCTGAGTCATCGAGTGACTAGCTGAGTTATTGAGTGACTGAGGCACTGAGTGACTGCCTGAGTCTCTGAGTGACTAACTGAGTCATTGGGAGACTGAGTCATTGAGTGACTGACTGAGTCAGTGAGTATAAATTATGTCCAAAATCGAGAAAAGGTCCAACTCACTATGCAAGTGTAGTCTTGTTTTTGACCAACAAGTTCTAAAAGGTAAATAATGGGACATTGCTTGTGGACTTTAGAAGGCAAACATGCGATACATGTACTAAAAGAAAACTGGAGAAAACGTTTCAGATTTGAAGACCGTTATTTTCGATTTAACTTTTTTAGCATGCAAATTGTGAAATGTTGATGTTCATTTAAACGTGCCATTTTTTATTTATTTGAATGGTTAACATTTTCTAGAGTTTATTTGGTTGTAGTTATTGCCAATATTGGTTACAAATACTAAACGCTTCTATTCCGACATAAACACTCCTTTCAAAAGTGAATTAAAAATTGATCACGAGCAAAGTTTGGAAAACAATTTTTTTTCTTTTTTCTTTTTTGTGAACACAAAAAGACAGGACCTTGTAACTTATTGACCCTTTCCTCTTTAATCATCCCAGCTGATTGTTTATTAATACAGCACATCATATAACACAAAATGATGCGATACGGTCATGATGTAACCTGTCATGGGACTTGATTACAAGTCTGTTACATCCACATAATAAACCAGTCTGCTGTAATATCACTCAAATGAATTGGAAGAAAAATATGTTGAAAAAAAAAATACTGCAGTAACAAGTTTGTTTTTCGCTAGCTTCACACGAAATAGCTAGGTTTAAAAAATGAAATATCATCACTATCTTCACAATAACCTTTAGGCAGTGTGCGCTTTTCTAGATGCTGCAGATGATACCTTTGCACAGTAAAAATCAATTGGGCCAACAGTGCAGTCTGAATGGTCAGCAGTAGCACTATTATGATAGAGAAGTATACTCCAGGAGTGTAACAGACATCTAATGAGTCGTCATACAAGAGTGCAGTTCATTATGAAATAAAAACAGTTTTTGAAGGTGATGATTTTGGCATCACTGCTCCATGGGTTCATCCTCCCAGGATAACTCCTGCCTCTGATCCTCCTCAGGATACAAAGCACTCCGGAAGTCCTGCTTGTTGGCTTCAATGTTTTCCTTCCCTTCTTCTTGATCCCCATCATCAGTATCATCAGCAGCAGCATGGGTGGCTGCTTTCTCCGCCATGCCTGCTGCCTCATCCTGACTGTTCCTATCCTGCAATTCCCCTTCCTCCTCCTCCCCGGAAGAAGATGATTCTGACCCCTGTTTCCCAACCCCATCCTTACCTGGCTCCCCTTCTCCAACCACCCTCTCTTGAACCCAGTCGGCAGCCACATCCTTAGCATTTCTCTTGTCGTCGTCATCGCTATCCCCTGGTTCCGTTGCGGGCGCTCCATCTGTTGGTTCGCTATGTTTCCCATTTCTGCGTTCCTCATGCTTACCCTTACTGTGCTTCTTCTTTTTATCTTTGGTCTTACCCTTTACCTCGGTGACCTTGGTCATCTCCTGCCCATCAAGCTCTGTCTCCTTGCTAGCGTGCTCTGAATGCATCTCTTGGATCTCTGCTTCAATCTCAGCTCGTCGCTTCTTCATCATATCTGCAACGCAATCAATTTTATGAACTGTTGATGCAGGGGATATCATATCTATGTCAATTTACTTACAAAAGACCATCATGTGACACAGGCCCTTAAGGTAAAAATTTTGCAGAGTATAAAAAAAAAATTTGCTCCAATGTCGACAAACTACATCTCAATTCAAATATTTTCTTATTACACATATGTAACTTGATATAATTCGAACCGTTCTACAAAGGATTTTATCTAATGGAAAGATTTTCTGCAAATACAAATCCTCCCTTCCTCCACGTCTCAATCATTTGAGACGTGTATCAATGAAACTGAAACAAAGTTGAATTCAAAATTGTACATGACGCAGCAAAAAGTTCGCCCATCTGATCCGAGTATATTTGATGCACAAAATCGTCGTTGAATTTCAAGTTTTCTAACTGAAAGCAATGAATATTAATTATCAACTGATTCAAAATAAAATTAATAAGCATTTAGCAGTTAATTAAACCTATATCATATACTCGGAAATACTCGGGCGCTATCCGATTGTCGACGAAACGACTTCGGCAAACTTCGGAAATTTTCGGAAAAGGAGGAATTCCTCCCGTTTTAGTCACGTGACGTAAATTGTAATACAATGTATTACCGGAGGCTACCGGACCTAAGATTCATCGGGAATAGTCAGAATCTTTTGGTCTGGGAACCAGACTACAATGTTGCATAGTCAGGCAGAGACTGGTCAGTGTTTAATCAACCTCGTCCCCAGTGCTTACTTTATTTCCAACCGCGTTTCCAATAGTAAACCCTGGATAGGAAACTTTCTTCCTGTATCCTGATTGGATACCGCAATTGGCTAGTAATGGATTTGTATCGTGTACTTGGTGCTATTATTCACAACGTGCAGTACGTGTTTTCGCGATCATTCGTCCACGCCTTCTCGAAAATACTAATTTCCTTTCCAATTTGCTCATATTAATATGAAATATGATACTGCATGTTGTCTCGATAAGATCGTAACAGTTTGATTTCAAAAAATCGTGTTTTTGTAACTCACGCCGTGCTCGCGCTGCTACGAATTGACTCTGTTTTTACCCCAGACACCGCATACAAAAACAAACGCTAATGTGTAACGCATATCCAGGCTTCAGACTGTTCCTCATTTGCATACGTGTTCAAAAATCTTGCACATGCAAATGATCCAATACCAGGGTGGTGTTTAATATGATCCTTAAGCCTTGAAAACGTCGGATGCAGAGTCAACTAACTTGGGTACTTACACATATGCATGCAGCACACACACATACTGCTTGCCATGTCTACACTTTATTTGTCAACCAAGCCAATTACAGGGAAGAAACAGTGCTCATAATGCACAGCAACCAGTAAAATATCAGAAACTTAAGGGGCCATTGCTTGCCTTCATTAATTGAGGTATTGGTTTTAGTCTACACGTAGAATCATGTTTAATTATGTACTGAATCATGTGGTGGTAACTGATCGAATACTAGGTACCAGACCATGCCTAACAACGTCATAAAGAAACAACATCTGAAGGCAGGGGGAAAAAAACACTTATTGGAATGCATCAAATATGTGCAACTCTATCCAGGTTTTCTTAGAACACGTTTCATTTAACCCTTGGTGTCTACATGTACGGCACTCTTCAATTCACTTCAATCTTTGCCAAAAGTTCCACCCTCCCATATCGGCCACTGTATCAAGTCCTGCATGCATCAAAGTATCAAGACCACAGGATTACAAGTCTGTCCTGAGATCTACTGGTCCTCCTCATCCTTCCAAATTCGTACCAAGTGCTGTAAACAAGCAGTGGATATTAACACATAAAAACTGCCTCACCATTCAGCAGTTCCTTGGAGTCCATTAAGTTTTTTTCAGTCACTAGCGAGGGCTTGGCTGGCTTGTAGAATATTGGGGGCTTGGCCTTGGTGCGTATAAAGTTACTCAGCTTCTTAGTATGAGCGTCCCAAGATTCTTGCTGTAGAAAAAGAAAACATTTAATGTTAAAGCCTTCAAAATCCAACAGAAAGTGCAGGAGGATGCGGCAGGATTGAAGAAGGTCGTTGGAAATATATAGAGGTTAATTATGCCAAACAGCAATGCTGCCATGACATTTTGTTTATTTCTTCATTTCTACACACACTTTTTCCCAGGCTAATTCCATGCAGCTGCTAAGCAGTACATATCATTTAGTCTATTTTCTTGCCCAGCAAAAATCAGCAGGGAATCAGCCAAAGGCATAGCATTTTGGTTGGTAACCTGTTGTTACTAAAACAAAACTTTCCGACCTTTAATTTAAGTACCATGAAATGTGTCCCTAGCAAAGTGGTAGTGATGCTGGACGCTTGTGTGGTGACAAGATCTTCCAAATGTGGGTTTCAACTCAAATCAATAAATACCTTGGAGAGTTCATAGCTTCTGATTGGTCAAGTCTCGATCACGTGAGGGTGCATTAAAACGTGATATATAGACCGGCTTCAAAACAAGCGAACAAATGGCCCCTGAACCAGCGTTGATCCAGCATCATAAGCCAATGATTGGCCAAATATACAACAATCCTACGGTACCTTGTAACAATACAGCAGTACACGTCGCTCAACCACCATCCTGTGAAGACTTATGCGCTGTATGCAACACAGTTGCAATGTGCGCGTGGAATAAGTCTTCACACGACATGTTCGTACTGAGGATGTTTACGATGAAAGCTTTGATTTATTTTCTGTACACAAGGACATATTTACTTTTTCTAAACCGAGCATCTTTGTAATTCTGGACACAAGGAATATGTAAACGAAATTCCAGCTTCCTCAGTCAGGTAAAAATATAAAAAATATTTGTTGTAATTTGTTTCGCTTTGACAGCAGAAGTCCATACGCTGGACGTCAGTCATAATGCAATGAAGAAGAAAAACACATTGAAGAGACAGGGTAACATATTGAAGCCATAAGCTAAAATATGGCCCCTCAACATGAACACAAAAAGTCTGGAAATATCGCCGAAAGAAAAGTCAAAATTTGAGCATTTTAACTGTTTATTTCGGCTCTGTCCATTAACAGCAGCCATCCCCCAACGCGGTCATTATCACGCAGTGAAGACGGGCTCCTCACACTGTTATTCCCTAATTCGTCACACATGACTTGAATTTCCTTTCATTTTAAGTTAGTATTACAATACCTCAAACATGTTCATGAATGAGAGCAGATTTTGTTAATGGTCCATTCACCATCATGTGTTGGCCGCTATGGTTTGCTATTTATCAAGTGTGCACCCAAGGATTCATGCACAGGATACATACATGTACGCATGCACAGTAAAGTATGGCACAGATTAGATGCGATAGTCTACTACGCATGTGTTTTATCGTGGAACTATTGCACAGGGACTGTGCACACATGCAAAAGTGCCCTAGCCAAATGAAAAGAGTGCAGCACACCCACAGCAATGGGTTTTTTTTTATATAAGGATAACTGGTGTGTAACTTATGAATATGTATGAGGTGAATATGTACATGTATGAGGTGAATATGTAGGGCCAATGGTTTTCCGCGATCGCGGAAACAGACTTAATTCGCAGAACCTGCTTTGAATGTAAAGAAAATAACTTCTGCAATTTTATCAATTGATAAAAACCATAATTTCGTAAAATTTATTGAGTCCAAAACAAATTGTTGATGATTGATTGAACAGACAAACCATATAACACATGAGTGTTGTTTAGCTCATGATTATTAGGGGGGAAAAACATTCAAGATCAGAGCAATAAATGTTATGAGATCATTACCGTAGTGACATTACCGTAGTGACAGACCCAACGCGCGCCGCAGCTGTCGGTCAGCACATAGGTGATAATCATCACACTCACGGCACACTCTCGCGGGTCTCTTTTGCTCCATCGGCAGGTATATTTTTCTCCGTTCAAACATCAACCATTCGTTAACATCTAACTTTGGCTCTATTGAAATGCATGTTGTGCTTATTCACTTATCCAGGTCTAAAAACCTACCGTAAACTATCCTATTTTGTCGCCGTTAGCGGACACGAAGCACACTTCAGCCAGCTGATGGGTGTGACGTCGTGGCATATACGGCTATTGCATGTTTCTTACGTGTGTGGTGGTGGCGATGCAGTATTAATGACGACAGCACGCAGTGAAGTTAAATACTATGTCTGTAAATTGATCATCCATTGATAAAATAGCAATCTTTTTTTGGAAATTTTCCCGTGTTCCAACCAAACGACTATTTCATTATCGTCTCAGTGTACCTGGTGTTTATTTAAATGCACTTTTATGTATTGAGTAAATGTGAAACAGAATTTTTCAGCCTGAAACGGAATTTAGGATTTTTGAAAACGGAATTTGCACTTTTCTGAAACGGAAAATCATTGGCCCTAAATATGTATGACGTGAATCTGTATGAGGTATAGTAAAACAAAAATAACATGGTTTATTTGAGATGGTCCGCCAAGGGAGCAAGTTTGTCAACTTCCAATACCTCAGGGAGCAAATATATAAATAAAACACGGTTTGAGGGTTGATAGTCGATATTAGCTCCCCGAGGTGATCTCCCAGAGGTAATATCGAATATCCACCCGAACTTACACATGTTTTATTTGTTTTACTATACCTCACAGAGCGCATTGGATTACTTCCCTTGCGCTTACCCGTACTTTCACAAAAATCTTGCATTAGTTTTCTCGGCAAAATGTTGCTGTGCGTGTGCCCCATCTTTTCATGTAGCTGCTGCATGATGCATGCTAGGGTGATGTTCGCGCGTGCGCACTGCATTCCGTGCGCTATTTCCATGACTGCTTCGTAAAGCGCATGTGTAGTAGACTAGCACACTGGTAACCAGTGCGATAGTCTACTACGCATGAGTGTTCAACCTGTGCATGAAACATCGCGTGCGCTTAGTAAACAGCAAAACTAGCGGCTGACACGTGATGGTGAATGGAACTTGGCCCTCGATCATGAATATGTATGAGGTATAGTAATATTGTCTATTCACCCACAAATTATGTTACGTTTTTCAGCCTAAAAATTGTTTGCTTTTAATTAGAAGTAAAATTAAATAATTTTAAGGTATCTATTTTGATTATTTTGGTTGTGCAAATGAAATATGCAGCACTAAACATCATGTTTCTGAAACATCTGAACTGAACAATTGAGTTTGGTTCAGTTCGGAAGTGCTATGTTCTGCAAATTTTAGTTCGGTTCAGTGGTTCGGCTGCAGCACACCAATACGTGCCAGTGCTACTCTGCTTTTACCTCTTTTGCAATATCAACCAATCTCTCCAATCTCTGTAGCTCAGCTTGCTGGTTCCGACGCTCTGTGAACAGCTGAGATCTCTGGGCTGCCACTTCTTTCTTCTCTTCAACTGCTTGCTCCTCCAGTTTCTTCTCAATTTCGGATCGCTTCCTCTCCTGTTCCCGAAAAGAAACAGGTGCAAAACCAAAGCAATGTTACAATTCATTGGACTGCCACAGCTCCTCACACATTATAACTAACCCTCAATTATTGGCAAGTTCATAAACTTACAGTATAATACATGTAGGACGTTTGTTGTAGTATAATGTTTGGTACGGACTATGAAATTAGTGAATAAAAGGGAGAGGTATAACCTAACAATGAGAGTGTGAGAGGGTGCAGGACATTTCAGACAATCTACATGCATGTATAGATCAATCTGATTTGCACACTTGTTGTGATTGTTGGTGTCCCCTTCCACCTTTACTGGAATGCACTAAAGCTCGCTTTGGTGTTTCTCACAATGCAATCTCCTTTAGCAACATGTTCAGAGCACTTATTTTCAGACAGGGAAGCGTCCAAATAATGCCAGACAAATCCATAATTTGTCAGACTGGAGTATAGCAGTGGGGATAGGGCTCTCTTTCTGGCTCTCACTTTTGGGGGTTACATGTACTTAATAGCAAGGAGTCTCTAACTGTTCATTTACCCTAACCCCTCCTCAATCCTCTAAAATCAACGAAGACTTTTGGAGGATTTTGGCGGATTGACATTGAATGGCAAAAAAGTGTCAGCTGATTTTGGAGGATGCACTATTATTCAGGTCGAAGGCTGTGCCCTGCGTTATGTTCACCATGCATAATTAAGGCCCACATTAGGCCCAAAAAAAAAAAAAAATTCTGCTTCCGATTTCCCTACCTACCCTATTCTGACAGCCCCTACCCTAATTTTTTTATTGGAAAAATGAGGGGAAAAAACACCCAAAACTATCAATTTTTTACCTTTTACCCTTGACTAAACGCAGACGCCTTCATATGATCGTACACAAAAAAATGAATTTTTTTTTACCTACCTACCTACCTACCCTTTTTTTCGAATGCCATGTAACCGGAAGCAGAAGTATTATTTTTTGGGCCTTATACTGGACAAGCTGATTTACCCGATCATAGATCGGGTATATAGGGCGTAGTGTTGGGGATGAAACTGTGGGCAGTTAAATGTAAATGGGGGATCATTGAGGAGACATGCAGTTATAGAAAAACAATTGGTGATCTGAGGCAATTTCTGACCACTAAAACCAATTTGAGCAAAAGATCATCTTTGAAACATCATTTTCGAGCTTGGGGTAATTGAATCAGCTATACACGGTATTCTGAGCAATAGAATCATTATAGTAGGCTACAATTTTTATTCGGGGAAGAAAAAGTGTGGGGGGGGGGGACCAAACAATGTCCCCGCTTTAAAATGTGGGGGGGGGGGGTTCTCCCTGTTCCCCACCGATTTACGCACATGATAATTATGTACCATGGCAACTGTCTGTAAATGTTCCCGTTGGTCTGTTAAATTGGCATTTTGTGAGGCAGTCGCATTGCCGGGAAAACATAGTGAAAAGGTTACCGTAGTACACAGGCGAAGGCTGATTGTACAGTTTTGACAATAAATCATAATGCAATCAAACGTGAAGTTGTCATTTGCAATGAAAATGTTGAGTGTTACCATAAAATTACAAACGGTCTGAATGATGGAGGAAGGTCATAATTAAGTTTCAGTATTGGACTTTTCAACAAACGTAAGCTTGAACTTCTTACAATTTGCGAGACCGTCTGCGAGGAAAAGGTCGATTCAACTTTTATTCAAGTTGGTCAACCATCTATATAAGAGCAAGTTTTACTCGGCCGCTGAGAAATGTTCGCTCCTGAAAGGATCCGAGACCGCGGTCTCCCGCGACGCCAAAATGGCTCCACGTCCATAGAAAAATACGGAGAATTTCTTCCTCTAAATCAAGCACTTCAGGTGGTCCTAATTTTTCCGTACGGACCGGCGATCCGTTTTGTCGTTTTTTTGTGACTGCGTTCAAGATCGCGATATTTGAAGCAATGCATCGATCCTTCGTTGATCCCAAACAGGCCCCCGAAATTATAACGCGACACTGAATTATACCGTGACGTGGTGGGCAGCGAACTCACAACGCTCAGCCTTGGTGGAAGCATAGAGCAAGGTCCTTGCTCTATGGTGGAAGCATAGAGCTAGTGGAAGCATGGAGCTGTAAACACATTATGGAAGCAACAGCACTCTATCACGCGACGTCACATGCTTGTGCAATAGCGAGCGCCGTAGACCCAACCTCGTTTCCAGGGTGTGGAGCATGCTGCAGTACGCGTTGCCATTGACGGTTTTACGCAGACCCCGGAAGTACAGTGTAGACTTTCGATTGGTCAGACCGCGCAAGGCATACTAATGTGTAGTCATTCTGAGTATTCGTTGCACTCAGCGCAGGGGCGGCAAGCAAAGCATATGAAAGAATAGGGACACTTGGTGGCCATGCACCATGGACAAAGAATATTTTACCAAGGTCACCCTATACAACCGTTTGGTGAACACTTTTGCAGAACGGCTAAGTAGAACACGTAAATGCAACCCCTACGTCGAAACCGCTGACCTCGCACAGTCTAGACACGCAGAAAAGCCAGCACAGGGGGCAGCCAGGCAGTCAACGTGAAAGCGCACACGACGGCAAATTCCTGCGCAAAACGCAGTCACGAAAAATCGACAAAACGGATCGCCGGTCCGTACGGGAAAATCAGGACGACCCGAAGTGTCCGACCCGGCGGAAGACACCCTCTGCATTTTTCCACGGACGTGGAGCGATTTTGGCGCCGCGGGAGCCCGCGGTCTCGGATCCTTTCAGGAGCAAACATCGTCTCGGAGGCGAGTAAACTTCTCTCTTATATATATAGATAATATCCACACTGCTTCTGGATATCATCCACACGGCCTCAATGTATTACAGTGGTTGTTAGAAATGTTGAAAGATTGAGGCAATGGTCACCCCTCCACTGAACATATTCAAGGAATAATAGATGATTTGGAGGATTGAGGCAGTATCCAATTTTTACATGGTGGCAATTGGAGGATTTTGCAGGATTGAGGATGGTTCCTAGCCAAAGGAGCCTAAGAAAATAAGGTAAAAGCTGCATTCCATTGAACTTCCTGTGTCATCAATAAGCCATTTGCGAGTAAACTCTTCTCTGGATTCCCCAGACTAAAGACACCTGCTTTATCACATGATTTCAGGTCCCACTTCAAGCGATGGTCATTTTGATTGTCAAAACCCAGGGGTTGGTTGTAGTCCTCAATCATGAGTCAGATGACAAACACTACTACAACATGCCCTACTGTGACTGTGGATAGTAGGAGGATGGTATACAAATATTGAGTGGCTCAGTGTGGAATGGGAGGAATATTATCGCAAGGTAAAATCTGGACTCTTCAATTTCACGAGGCGAAGCCGAGTGAACTGGAAAAGTCCAGATTTTACCGAGCGATAATATTCCTCCCATTTCACAATTTAAAGCCACTCAATATTTGTTTAATATAACTGACATATAGATCCTTGTCATTTGATATATTTGAACTTTTTTCAATACAAAACTGGAGGAAAATATATTTCTCTCTTCCAAACCACCCTTTCACGAAAATGTTTGAACCCAACGCTGTAGCGCTGGCTCTTTGGAACAATACGCGCTACGCGCAACGCTGAACGCGCACACCAGCATGCATTTGCACACAAATACCACGTCGTGATCCTAACTGTTCAATAGTATTTCCCATTCCCCATGGGCGGATAGTACTTTTTGAGCCGCGGCATGAATGGGAGCAATAACGAATGCCACGTGATGTGAGTTCCACCAATCAAATGACAAGGATCTGGATGTCGGTTATATAATAATATACATTGCCCAGATCAGACCAAAGGTTGCATAGAAGTGACACATAAAAGACTCTTGAGACTGGTTAATACCTTGCTTTCCATGTCAGTGGACTCCTGTTTGAATTTCTGCAGAGTACCCAACAGGTGACCAAACATTCGCCGATTCCTGTATGAAAAGGGTGAAGACCAGAGTAGAGTTTAAGAGTGTGCTCACCAATATAAACATCAGTAATATTATGAATGGATATTACTCCAGTCTTAGCTCATAGCAAGAATATATTATTTGCTATAAGTGGATCCCACTTGGGATAGCTTTATATATGCCACGCCATAGTTTTATGTATCTAATTTAGGGAATTAATTTAATACTCGGAAGAGTTCAACAAAACATGTAATATCAAGTCATTTACACCATCTGAGGCATGAATGCTTACTTCCTGGTCACATTGTACCAACAACTTTCAATCTTTAGTGCTGAAGAAGAATCTGCATATGAACTTGCATATTCCTCGATGCAGTAAAAATGCTTGTTTGTTTAGTTAATCGGTTTTTTTCCTGGGGGGAGTAACATATTTGTACCCTCTTTTATTGTAAGAAATAGTGGCATCCTACCTTTTCTGTCCTTGGACATCCTTGCTCTGTTCCTGAATGGATTCTTGGCGTGTTTTGACCACCTTAGGGGTAGCTACAACAGAGGATTGGATGGTGTGCTGAAAGATAAGAGAAAGTAACTCTAATAAGAAAATCTGATAAACATGTCTGTAGGGTTCAGCAAATACTACTCAGAGTTGTTGTGAGATTTTGATGGTTTCAGCATATTAAACTCTTTCTAGCTCTGGAATGCTGTTGGACTGTGCCAGCCTCATACATTTCAACTGTTGGAATTGGATGGATTCAGCAAGCTTTACTTTCTGCAGTTGTTGGAATTTGATGGATTCTGCAAGCTTTACTTTCTGCAGTTGTTGGAATTTGATGGATTCAGCAAGTTTCACTTTCTGCAGTTGTTGGAATGTGATGGATTCAGCAGGCCATACTCTTTGTTGCTGTTGGACTCAGTTGGATTCAACATGCCTCTCGCTGTTTTGCTTCTGGATTCATCAAACTTCAGTTTTATCCACCCGTTTAATTTCAGGTTTTCAGGATAGATTAAGCAGGGTAAACCTGTTTCTCAGTAATGCTGCTGGATCAAGCATATTTCCCACTTTGCTACATGACTAATGGCACAAAGAAACAAATGTATCTGCCAACCTTAGGCAGATCATCATCATCATCATTAGTCTTCCTCCGTGGGCGCTTGGGCTGCGGTCCATCCACACGGCCTCCCAGCCTGCCAATCACACAAACACACAAAGTAAATTACTCCAAGAAACAAACAAATGTAATTTAATTGGTATATAAATTTTCAAAAATCAGTATTTGGCTGTTATTGTGGGGTTTACTTCAAATGTTAATTGTAATTGAAGTTTCCAGTAACTAACAAACTGTGCGAGTGCACAATAAGCTCTGTCTGTGTTAGACTCAAGCGAGGCTGACCTTGCAAGAAGTCTTGCATGAAAGTCTTGCATGAAATCGATCAAACTGATCCCTGTCAGAGCTTTTTAAAAATGCGACGCTGATGGCACATATGGAACACCATACTTTTGGCCAATTTTGGGACGGACAGACTGACCACTAAGTGACATGTAGAAGCTCCTGCCAGAGCTTAAAAGAAAACGTTTCAGGCCTGATCACGTTCAACACAGAATGCATCACACCACTTTTCAAAGAATACATGTACATGTACTGACCTGCTGAATGCACTGCCAGTGCTTTGTCTCCTAATGATAGGTAAGCCCAAACGCTGAAAAGCATCTGCCCTGTAAAGAGAACAAGAACACTAATCTATCATGTCAAACATACTTTTACTTTTAACCCTAACTCCCTACCGTCTTTTACTAGGAACTGGACCAAGTCCATCAAATCCATCAATCACTGTGCTTCCAATACAAAACTGTACATGACATAATGGAATCCACCACTGACGCACTGGTTGACATTCATGGACTAGTGACAGTGCTGCTGCTTGAAATATGATCTGACTGTTGGTGACTAGCCTGTGTAAAGTGCATGGAAGGGAAGAGGATTTTTTGACTGTTTGTGAGTGTTCAGATAGCAGGAGGGTTAGAGAAAGGTTCATATTGTATGCCACAATTGTTTGATATATTATTTAGTTTCTTATAATGCATATGGAGCAACATTTGAGACATGGGGACTCCCACCACAAATCCTGTAGCAATGCTACATGCTACAGACTGGTAACCATAATGCGATTAACTAGCCCTTTTAGCTGCAGTTGGTCTTCATCTTTTACTGTCCACACTTATACTTTTAGTATGGAT